TAGTGTTGTGTTTAGTATTATTTATTTGATGTAACTTTCAAATCAAACTGATTTAATCTTTTATTTTCATCAAATGACCATTTGACCTTGACCTTCATGGTTAGAGCCCAAGGTCAAAGTTGATCTTGAAAATGTTTTTTTTTTTCAAGAAACCACATTGATAATATATCATATGAAAGGGCGTGGAGAGAGCTGTACAACAGACTTCTTAATTTTTTTAATATGATACCTTATTACATCACAATAACGCCGCAATGCTTCACAAAATCACCCACTGAGTGAATATATCTGAAAATCTTAAGTTTTTATAGTTTATAGAAGCCAAAGATTTCAGCCAATTCAGCTCCAATCACATGGATAAAGAAAATAAAGAAAAGAAAATAGTAATAATCCTCTGAGGTCATAGATCAAAGGTCAGTTGCTATAAAAGCAGGCTGATACCAGCATGTTCTAATAAATACATCGTACAACATCAAAGTTTTAGTATAGCCCTTGGCCCTCAGGGGGGCGTTGTGCTCTCAGAGTGCTCTTGTTCTTTGTGTGTTAGGCCATTTTTATTTTGTTAGCAGTTAGCTTGCAGTTATGTAAAGTTGCTTATTTGGCTTGAGTTTAGTTATGTTCATTTGCCCTCTTTTGCCCTGTATTGTGAGCTCATTTTGTATATTTTTGTGTGTTTTAGGATAAATAAACCCCTCTTCTCTCAAAGTCCTCACTTTGTCCTCATATCTAACCAGCTTGATCCACAGAGTTTTTGTAAAACTGGCCCCCAGACTTGTGCTTCAGATCTGTGGCCTTGGCAGTGTCTAAAAAACAGCTTAAAGCTCATCTCCTTAGACTTGCGTTTGGTTAGTGTTTTTTTTTTTAGGGGAAGGGTGCTTTTGAAAAGTGCTCATTTTAATTACTTACATGAGTACTTCTTTGATTTTCTTTGGCAAATTTATGACTCTAAAATGTGAGGCATAAACGCCAAATATTATGCTTCGTGAAACCCTCCACCCACTCATGCAACCAGTCCAATGTATTTTAAAACCTTACCCTTACTCCACATAGAAAAAGCTGCTTTAATGTTGTTGCTTTTAATATTTCCCTCTGAGGACAGGAAAAAGCGTGGTTTGAGTCATTAAACGATTCTAAGAAGTGTCACCACAAGAACCACAAGACCCTTACATGTATGAGTTGACTTGAAAAAGCTGGGGGTGCTTCTGCTTTGTAGTCGCAATGCTGACATTCATATCCCTGATCAGAGCGTCTACTTTGAAATTGAGGTTTTATTAAGGTTTGGTGAAATGCAACAGTAAAACAGAGTGAGTGTAATCATTTCAGCTGTTTATTTGTGTTAGCTGTGCACAGATACAGACAGAACAATTAAAAAAACATTGCATTGCAAAGGAAATAAAGGTAAGTTAATGCAGATTGGAAACAAAGCTGAAGGCAAAAGTAATGATTACTTGAGCTAAGTCTTCTCAGTTATTACTGCGATTTTTTTTTTTCAATGTTTATTCATACATCTAAAGTTAGTCATGCTCTTTAACGTCAATAAGTGGAGCTCCATTCTCTGCATAAAAGAGCAGCTCCAACTCCTTTGACCTAAAGAGAGAAAAAAAAACAATAGTGGTGTAAAATCAGGGTTGCAGTATCATCGGTGTCATTGTAGTATTAAGGCATGTTTGCATGCTGAATTTGGTCTCAGTTTCAAACTTAACATCTAAAGTTAAAGTCGCTACAAAGTGAATCATCTGAAAAATGAAAGCATTTAGATGAACCCCTGGGAACTTACTTGCATGCTCCCATGTTGACGCAGATGGTCCTCACATCATCAGTTGTTGTGAGTTCCTCAATTAATTCTCCAAGGTGCACCTTCACAAATTTGCGGCAGAGTGATTTTAAGAGTCCAATACCATCGCAGACAGAGAGCAACTTTGACTTCAGGCTCTGTGAAAGAGAAACTTGTATTACTGCTCTGACTGAATAATGCCGTTAATTGTTGCTGGTACTCTATGAGACATTTTACCTCTGCAGTCGGGTTTGGTCCTGCAAGTTTCTTCACCTTGTTTACAATCCACTTGCAAGCCCAGCACTTTCCTGGAAGCTGCAAATATAAGAGACACCCATGCATGTTAGGTGTATTGGTGACTCTAATCAATAAGCTGTAGATGTGCGAGCGAATGGTCGTGTGTGTCTATGTGCCATCCCTGTGAGTGGCTACCCAATCACAGCGTACCCTCTTAATCTTACCCAGTATTAGCTGGGATAGTCTCCAGCCCCAGTGCAAAACTTGTTTGATAAGCCATTCAGGGAATTTTTCCTACTTAGAGACATGTTTCAGTATATTCCATGGATACACTGGTATACTCATTTCTTTGGCAAGCTCGTTAAATACCATGCAATGTTATGGTTTTGTTGGACTTAGTGTGTGGTTAACCTCAAAATATCAGCATAGTTGGGGTTTCAGAAGTCAGATATGTCCCCACATTGTGTTACAAATGAACAAAATTCATTTGTTTTTCTCATTTCTAATCCAATGATTGTTGTTGGCATAGAAATTAATTTGACATGAAAAAGCTTTTCACAAAGACAGCAAAGTGTGACTCCTGATATCTAAAGGTGGACTGATAAAGTGTAACCTCAGTTCTTTAATATTAACACTAACTCCACTTGCCCCCATCGAGACTTCCACGTCCTCTTCATCATCGATGCTGACCTCTAAGGTTCGTCCATGGACAGCACGGACTGCGATTCAAACAAACAGAAATACTTAATCACACTTTAAATCATAAAGAGAAGATTTGGCAGTTTCATATGGATTCTCATGCAAACAAATTTTTTCGATACACACCTGAAAATGTTGCCACAAGGCACAGAAAGAGGAGTGAAGACGTTTCCATCGCAGCCATTGAGAGATAATGCTAGTATCTGTAGTTATGGCTGCTTTTATACAGTTAAAGATGCATGGGCTCTACACGCACCTTATTGCAAGGCGTAAAATTCAAACCACATGTGAGAACACATTTTACGTGGTTTGGGTGCCACGCTGTGAGAAAGTCATGCACCACCTCGCCCACCCACTAAAGAACAATTAGTGTGTTGTCCGCATTTAGAACACAGTGATCCTTTTATGGCTTAAGGCTGTCACAGTGTCCCTGCCTCATTGTTAAAACCCCTGAAAATCAATGACTGTATCATGCTATAAATTTATGTGTAAACCTTATTCTAAACCTTTAATATGCAGTTTATTGATCCACAAATATGTATTTCAGTTTTGTGGTCATATATAAACAAAAACCAACACTGACTTTGGACAGAGGTAATTGTAACTGTGCAGGTACATTTTCTCAACCTGCCTATAAGTTAATAACTTCCTGGAAGGCAATGTGCGACCTTATAAGGGTCCAGTGAGGCGACTCACAGTTTTGAAAGTAGACTTTCACATTTCTGTCAGAGATCAGAGGTGAGAGAGAACTCTTAAAGTCAGAAGCTCAAAGAATTGCAGCATTTGCAGTACACAGGTTTACTAGCTGCTAATTCAAGCTCACTAGCTGCTTACTGATAGTAATAAGAGTTAAATCCGCACACCTCATTGCTTCTGTGCAACAGAGGTTTTGGAGAAGACAAGGCAACTTCCCAATGGAACCTGTGTGGGTTAATTATATGTCAGACGTGACATTATTTACATATGTAGTTTTATTTGTTGCAAGTAAACAGGACACATTATGAGTAAAATAAGATTTTCTAATTCTAATCAATAGAGTCAATTGCTTTGTTAATAGCTTAGTAGTTACAGAAGACGGTCATGCTTTATGGTGATGACTAATTAGGCAATATGCTTCCAGTATGCACACTCAAAAGCAACTATTTTCATTTTCATCTAGTCTATAGTTGACAGAATATGAGTCTCATAATACGGATATGTATAAGAAAACTAATGATATCACAGTAAAAATATGTTTTTTTATTGGGAGGGAAAAAGCAAGAAAATATGAACACAGGCTTGTGTTATTAACACAAACAGTTGAAGCATCACAAGTTCTTCAGACCTCTTTAGTTATAAAAAGGTGGCCTTGCAGAGTTTCAGATTAGTGCAGATGGTCTTGGCAGACTTGTCGTTGGTCAAGGCATCAGTCAACTTGTTTTTTACTGTTTTCAAGATCTTTCTGCAGGCCGACTTTAGGAAATTGAATTTCAGTTTATTAAAGGCACCAGCCAACAGCCTCCCGATTTTGTCCTTCAAGCAAAAATATGTGAAAACAGTAAACAAGCAGCTTCAGTATAGGTTTCTTAAAGGTTAAATTAAAATAACTTTAAATTATGTGTCCAACACTGAGACTATGGATGAAAAAAATATGACAAAAACAACAAATGCACAGCATTAATAAAACTTGACAATAATGTCTCTGCTGGCTTGTGGCATATTTAAACAAAGCTACAGATGTGTGAAAAAATATTTGCCCCCTTCCCTTTTCTAGATTTTTGCATATTTGTCACACTTACATGTTTTTAGATCATCAAACAAAGTTTTACATTAGACAACGAGAACCCGAGTAAATACAAAATGCAGTTTTTAAATGATGATTTCATTAATTAAGGGGAAACAGCTGTCCAGGCCCCATGTAAAAAAATGATTTCCACTCTTGTTACGTTATGATTTAATTGATTAACCACATTTTTGGAAAGCTGACTTCAACTTCATTAACCCCGCCCAGCCCTCATTACTGCCAGAAATCCTTACAGTAAGCTAAAAAGTACAGTAAGCTAAAAAAGTGTCAAAAGCAACACATCATGCAACGATGTAAAAGAATCGGCTCATTGACCTCTTTCAGTCTGAAAAGGGTTTCTAAGGCTTTGGGATTCCAGTGAACTACAGGGAAAGCCATTATCCACAAATGGAGAAAACCTGGAACAGCGGTGAACCTTCCCAGCCTACCAAAATTCCTCCAAAAGCACAGTACTGACTCCTCCAGGAGGTCACTAAGGAGCCCAGAAAACTTCAAAAGGAAGTGTCGGCCTCACTTACCGTAGTTAAGGTCAGAGTTCATTATTCAATAATAAGAAAGACACAGGGCAAAACTGAGACCCATGTGCGAGTTCCAAGGTGAAAATCACTGCTGACCAAAAAGATTACAAAAGCTCACCTCACATATTCCAAAAAACATCTTTGTGATCAGTGGGCCCTGTGAGGATTAGAGATATATTTTGCTGCTATTGTTAATAATCATCATCATTACCATTGCATTAATAATACAATCTGCAGTATTGTTATTGTATTCAGATGTTTAAACATATTGGTACCCAATTAGCCTTTATTACAGGTGCAGTTATAACCACGTTAAACTGTTGAGTTAAATCAATAATCTTAAATGCTTTTGAATGCTTGTTATAATCTTAAATGTTTTGTTTTTAAATGTACGTGCTGGCCTTCTGTCTGGTGGAAAAGGTTACAAGGTTCAGCTGCTGAGGTGAAACTGAGTGCATTTCATGCTGACACCCACACACACTCACACAGTAGATAGATTCATTTATAGGTGAGAGGTTAGTCATGTTTGCTTGCAACTGCAAAATTGTCTCTGCAAAAAGAGGAACAGTTTCTTGCTGTCTCTGTAAAAAGAGGAACAGTTTCTTGAAGGGTGTGGGTCTGGTGTTCCAGACGAGAAGTGAAAGTCAGAATGTTGACAGGAAGCATCTGCTGTGGAGACGGAGACAATGTTATTTTTAAACTGTGTTTAAAGTCATTGTGGTTTTGAAACCTATGTATGAACTGTATCTGATTAACGTTGAAGGGGCGTATTAAATTTAAGCCCCTGAAAGGTATAAAAAACCTGCCTATGCTCTGTAAGTCGGGGATCGGCGCTGTCTGCGTACAGCGGTGGTCTCCCCACGCGTGTCATTAAAAATCATCGTTTGACTCCACCTGGCCGGATCAGTGTTGTTATTTTGAACGTTGATTACCTCCTCTACCCCTCCTCAATATTGAACCCAACAGCCCACTGACAAGATAAAAGCGGAACTTTTGAGACGTCAGAGTCCCGTTAAATCTGGCATGAAACTAACACACTATTTCATAAAAAGGCCATCATGGTCATACACGGTGGCAGTGATATGACGGTCTGGGGCTGCTTTGCTGTTACAGGACCTGGACAGCTTATCGTAACTAATAGACCGATAAATTCTTCTCTCTACCAAAAAATCATGAAGGAGAATGTTTTAGTTCATGCCCTGAAGCTCAAGTGCACATGGTTTATGTGGCAGGATGATTATCCAAAATTCAACAACAAGTCCACCTCTGAATGACTGAAAAAAAAACCAAACTCAAAAAGCAAAATGAAGGTTTTGAAGTGGTCTAGTCAAAGGCTAAACCCATCAAATGCTTTAGCAGGACCTTAAAGAGGACATGAAATGCTAACACATAAAAGCTAATTTTATGCCCTGTTTTGAAAAATGGACATAGATACAACTGTCTGTGAAGCTGGATTTAACTTTAAGTGCTTAAAGTTTTAAAAACATGTTTAGTGCCATCTTCTGTCAGTACTGAACGTGCTGTCATGTGTTTGGTTGGTTGTTTGCAGCTAATAGACTTACATTTATTTATGTTAGCTAACTAGTGACAGAATCCATAACTATAGGAGGAAAAAAGACAATAAAACTTAAAAAAAATCAGTTTAAGGGGATCACATTTGTGCTGCCCCTGACTGCACTTGTATATAACTTCCTATTATCTAAAAATCCCCTCCCAAATGTCAAACCCCAGAGGGCTGTATCTGTGTCAGTGTCACATTTATGTGCTGAAGAAGACTTTTCTACACATTTCAATCATTCCTATACCCTGCCACTTCAATCCAATAACAGTTTGATATGCTGGTATTTTATTGGCAGCACTGTCAGGTTCTTTATGTGGAATTTCTGAAAAATTACAAGAAATTCTGAGAGGTTATTGCAGCAGTACTGTTCACCATATATTATACTCATTACCTTTGATTTATCACTTCCAATCTGCTTCTGCACTCTGGACACAATAGTCATGCAAGTACGGCAGGAGCCTGGAAAAACGTCATCCGACAGAATCTGAGATAAAAGTTTTGGTAAAAAGTTTTCAATTTGCACAAAATAACAAAATAAGCTTCTCTACAAGGGAAACTTGTCAAATTTTAGCTTTCTCACCTCCTCTTTGTTGTGGTCACCTTTCTTTTTTTCATGCTGTGGTAAACGCTCCTTCTTAGTTTGGTCCTTCAGAGTCTTCAACGGCGCAACAAAAGCTAAGAAATAAAGCATGCTTTAGAAAAGTAGTTCAGTTATCTTAAAGGTGGAGTAAATATTGCTACTTTTTTACTTGTGGAGAGCAGGAGAAGGGCGATGGTGATGGCAGGACTCACGGTTTTCCACGCTGTCAGATTTGTGCTGTTTTCTGGGCCTTTTATACGTCTCTGCGGCTTATTCGGTTTACTTCTCAAAAAAAAATCAGCACTTATTTTACCACATAGTGACCCTTAAACAGCATTTTTAAAATTTGCAGAATAAAGTTTTTTTTAAACAGCATTAACTGTCAGTTGAAATACCCCAAACTCTAACAAGGTTGGGATTCTGTGAAAAACGGAAATCAAAAGAGAATTCATTGATTTGCACATCTAGTAAATAAAATAATTTGCATTGTAAAACAGAAAATATCTCAAACAAGTTAAGACAGGGGCAACAAAAAGCTGGAGAAGTAAGCGGTTCTCAAAGGAAACAGCTGGAAGAACATTTTGCAAATGATTAAACCAGCTGGCTTTCTTTAGTATAAAAAAAGAGTGTCACGGAGAGGCAAAGGTTTTACAAGTAAAGATGGGCCAAAGTTCACTGATCTGCAAAAAAAACCCTGCGAAGTGTGGAATAATTTACAAACAATATTCTTGAG